AAGAAGAAGAAGAAGAACAAGAACAAGAACAAGAACAAGAACAAGAACAAGAACAAGAACAAGAATAAGAAGAGGGAAGAAGAAGGAAGAAGAGGGAAGAAGGGGGAAGAAGAAAAAGTTTCACTTATACAGCGCATGTTCTCTCAGGAAGAGTTCAAAGCACTTTGCAATAACGCAGAAAAACAACTCTACTATGGGAGTTCACAACGCCTTCTTGGTCAGTACATTTATTTTAAAATTTAAAGGATTATACTAATGGAGCATATCAGCAGACAGACGCAATACCCGATGAAATAGATTTACCAACATAGGAACTGATCTCAAGTCTTTTGTATGCAATAGAGAAGAGCCTACAAGTTACTCCTCACAAGCCGCTCTGAAAAGATTTCGATAAAGTGGTTGGAAATCACTAATATACATTGTACAAGAGAAACATATTACTTGTCGGGATCTGCTCGATAAAATGGATTTCCCTACATGGGAATCGAACTCGTCTATTGCGTGCAACACGAAAAAGCCTGACCGTTATCCACATACGTTGCCCTTTCTTTTGTTTGAGTAGGTGTTTTACGGCTCTCTTGATTCAGATTTGGTCATGTACCCACCGACCCCCAAAAACCTTTACACGCAGGAAAGCCTATACGTCTGCAACAAAGAGCACTGTTCACACGAAAATTGATGGGAAGCAAGCTGAAGCATCCGGAAGGAAATGCGTAACAAAACCAATAGTACCTTAGAAGCAGACATAGCTACTCTGGTCAGTGTTGAACAACAAATTTTTATGGTTGAAACATACTGTTATCGAAACAAAGCTCCCCTCTTTAGACACGGAATCTCTTCTGTAAACGGTTTGGAATCAGCACCAAACACCGTAAGAAAATACCAAGTAAAGTAACAATAGTTAAATGGATGGCTGACTTCAAGTCACATGGCTCTGTTGAAAATAAAAACAAGAGATCAAAAACTAAGGTCATCCATAGTGGGAGACCGATGCTAATTCGTACTGAGAATGTGGCTGTGGTGATGGAGTCTGTGAGCGAAGAACCTGAAAAGTCAGTTTGTTGTCTTAGTAATAAATTAACTATTGCGAGAGAATCTGTTCGGCGCATGATGAATTACAATCTGAAGTTTAAACCATACAAGATCCAGGTAAATCAAAGGCTCAGCTCCGCCAATGCAGCAGACAGAGTGACAATGTGCAGGTGGTCGCTTCAGAAGATTGAAAACGACGAGACATTTGCTTTCGGCATAATAGTATGATTCACTGATGAGGCATACTTTTACCTGAACAGACAAGTTCATAACAAAAATGACGTGTTCTGGGGCTCTGCAAAGCCTGACGAAGAGTTCGAACGAAATCTCCACCACTGCCTGGGTTGCCATGAGCCGCCAGGTCATCATTGGCTCATATTTCTTCATGGACGAGGATAGAGACACGCTGGCGGTCGCTTCCGACTTTTACCTCAAGATGTTGAACAGGTTTTGGAAAGCTCTGGGTAGTTTGGTCGGAATGGAAGTGAGAGCAGAGCGGTATTTCATGCAAGATGGCGCTGCCCCAAAACACTGCGAGAACTATCCTTTAGTAGTTGAGGCACCACTTTGACGAGAGACTTTTCAGTCGTGGCATAGTGAACCGTTTAGCTTCTCACAGTCCCGATCTCAACCTCCAATATTTCCACCTTTGGGAATGCCTAAAGGACAACCTATGTGGCAGTAACTTTCAAACCCTCTAGCTGCTGAGAGACACTGTACCACCAACGTCAGAGCCATATCTCTGGAGCAAATGGAAAATGTCATTAATGACAATTTCGTCAAGCGCCTCAGAGCGGCGTGTATCACCCGAAACGGACGTCACATGGAGCATGCACTCTAACTTCCTTCAAACTTTAAATTTTTGTTTGTATATTTTCACAATAAATCCGGACGGTGACCAAGTACGTCTGTGAACTCCTGTGTTTTTATCTCTATTTTAACCGTTCTTATGGGTGTCTCCGTGGGTAAAATTTGTTTGGGGTCACGCGGGTAAGCGTCAATACGCTGCTCTAAAACGGTTGATAGTGGCTGAAAAGCGATGGAATACAACGGAAACAAGGTAATCAAGACCTACAAATTGCACCATTAGATAAGATAGTGAAATGTTGCATTTTGAAAACATAATCAAATACCCATACATGATTTGTTAAACGATTAGGTTTATCTTTCTTTCGTGCACTTTTATCAGAGTGGGCACTTACATCAGCGATATTTGATCCATAGGAGATATAATTTACACTGTGTCAACCTCGAGATCTACGTAAAACATTGTTTGTTTATCCTACCTAGAGTATTTCATGCTGTTTTTATTACGGAAAAAAATCATCCTTTATCAACGCTTTAGTGTTTGTTATAAAGGTCCTACTTGACATTCTGGAGGTGTTAGAGGACTCAAATGGTGGACAGGTGTCCCTCTCACTGACACTGTTTTAAAAACATTTGTTTCACCTCGAAAGGGTTGGGGACAATTCTTAATACAAACTTTTGGATATATATTAACCTCATTATTACATCTACCTCTGGTGCTGCGAGTGCAGAGGAATGTGTAGAATGATAATATTGATGATGATGATGATGATGATGATGATGATGATGATGATGATGATGATGATG